GAGAGAGAGAGAGAGAGAGAGAGAGAGAGAGAGAGAGAGAGAGAGAGAGAGAGAGAGAGAGAGAGAGAGAGTTGCATACTAGTGAATACTTCACCTAGTATGGGCAGAACCAAAGATCAACCAATGTAGGATGAGCATGTATGCAGCGGAAGTCTCAGAAATGGACTGACTCACATAGACTGAACTCACCTAAACATTACTCAACACACAAGCAATCGTGAGATGGTGGGGTCTGAAGCCATACGTGGACGATGCTTCAGCCCCGTACAACCGTACACAGATGAATGGTGGGAGGAGAGACGGTGGAGGTGGGAGATATGGACAGCGCCAGATGTCACCGAGATAGAATCCAGAACGTCACCGATATGGTAGCCCAAAATGTCACCGAACAACATCAGAATGTCGTGGACATAAGTCACCAATGTCAGAGGTACAGAATCCTAATGTAACCGATGTCCGATCCGTGATGCCGCCAGGTATCAATCCCAACTATCTCCAATGTCTCGAATCCGGTAAGTATCACATCCTCCTACCACCGAAGTCCAATCACTGATCTCTGTCCAACTCGTATCAATAGTCTCCAGTCTGAGGAAGAAGAAGAAGAAGAAGAAGAAGAAGAAGAAGAAGAGGAAGGTCCGAGAGGGGCAGAGGAGAAGTGGAGGCGTAGAGAAGAGAGAAGGGGGCGGAGGTGAGTCCTCCTGTCCGAGCCTTGCTGTCCAGGTGCTACCTGTGATGGCAAGGTGTGACCTTGGCGCTGCTGAAGGCTGGCGGCGAAGACCGGAGCTATGGACGCTCCTGCAGGTAAGTCGGCCGCTGCTCCTCTAACCTCCACTGCGCTAATCTGCGCTGCATTGTCCTGATGCGCTGAGCACTTGCGCTACTAAACTTAGCGCAGCGCTACCTCACTGCTGCGTTCCTCCGGAATGCCTCCTGAACAGACCGCCGCCCGGTACTAAGTACCGTGGTGGCCTGTTCGGCCTGGCTGCTGCGAAACAGCGCCTTGATCTGAACCGTCAGATCCGGTTGCCGATCTGCGGTTTCAGATCGGCCTTGAGGGCGGCAGCCTCAAGGGTGCCGCCGGTCCAAACGGTAATATCGTTTGGACCGTGTCCGCCTGGGCCTGTGTGACTGGGCCTACTGGGCGGCCTTCCGCATAAAGGTCCGGCCTTTGGACCGGACCGACATGGACTATCGTGTCCAAGCCTGTGGTACCCCCTAGGCCTAGTGGTCGGGCCCGAAAGGGACCCGTGTGAAATGCAGTATGTAAAACACACACACACACACACACACACACACACACACACACACACACACACACAC